TGTATTCTAAGTTTCATTAGGGTCCCTGTTCTGATTCTTGGTTCAGCTACTGGTAACAGATGCATTATCTCAGTCTTGGTATCCTTTAATTCCCGAATGTTAGGATTTGACATCTCTTACTGAATTCACCTAAACTAGTCAACCACAGGGTTACTAGAATTTGAGGTCAGTAAGTGATGTCAGTACTTTCTCCCATAGGTAAATTAGGAAAATCCCCGCCCTTGAGGTTAGTAAAGGCACGCCCCTCATTCGGTTAAATCAACATTCTGAAAATTCCTGAGGAATTGGGACCATGAGGCCTCTTTGCTTCTATCATAAAACCAATTTATGTCCATGTAAAAATAATGATGATAACGGCGATTATCATCCTAATACAAGAGGAGGAAGAAGGCGAGGCTGCAGAGGAGGAGGAGGTACAAAAGAGGAGACCAGGAGAAAAGGAGAGAAGGGGGAGAGAACTAGCATGTACTAGTTCTAGCGCAACCCTCTGCCTTTCCCAGGGGCAGGGGCTGACAGTCTCTGTTTGCTGTTATTGTTGTTTTCTTTTGTTTTTTAAAATATTTTATTTTTTTAAAGTCATCTCTACACCCAGCGTGGGGCTCAAACCTACAATCCCAAGATCAAGAGTTGTAGGCTCTACTGACTGAGCCAGCCAGGCACCCCGGACTGTCTGTGAATACAGACGCCTCTGCCTGATGAATTGATCCCTCAAGTTTTAGAGCGCAGGTGTGATTGAGCACCTGGGTGTCTCTATTCCCTTCTAGACCAACCGAATCTCAATAATTTTTATGGCTCTCTCACTCTGTCTCTTGGAATATAGTCAGTCCTCAGGCCTGATTCAACAAGTTTGTGAAAGTGAGTTAGTTGTACAGATATGGTTTTATTTGGTGTGACTTACACGTCACATGGAATATGTGAACTTACTCTGGTCTTTACAGAATGACCTGCCAATTCAGCCCTCCGGCTTCTTCAACTCTCATCTGAGAATCATTTTTCTCTTTACCTCCAAATGTCTTGCTCCCCGTGCTGTCATTTAATTCTGAAAATGGCACAGAGACAAAATGTGTATGAGTGATAATGTGCAAATAAACATGTGTTCAGGCTGATGTGTGGGTAACTTCTCTGGTGTATTGTAAGCTAGTGTTCTGTTTTACCTGTCAAGCGCTTGGATATACAGAGAATAAGATAGTTCGATATTCATGAATGTGGGGCTTATATTACACATACTTGATCTTTGTAAGATTTGGTTCATTGAATTGTTTTTAGGAAAGCTACATTCCCCATTGCTCAGGACAAAAATGAATTTGGATACACTCAAAGTACCCATGGTCAAAGCAGTTTTCATGCATGGCATGCTAGGGGTCATGAAGATGGAGCGCTGATATGATGCAGAGGATCTTTGGACCTATCTAGAACCCTAATCAGAGCCAGGAAGCCTCCATTTGGGGTAATACATGTCTTTTCACTCGATTCCAGTGGTTGTCAACCAGGATAATTTTGCTCCCTAGAGGACAGCTGGCAATGTCTGGAGACAATATTGGTTGTCACAACTGCAGGCATGCTGCTGGCTAAACATCCTCTAATGCTTAGCATCTTAATGCTGCTGAATGCCAAGTGTCCTACGATACACAGAATCCTGCCCCCTGCTGCCCCAATAAAGAATTACTCAGCTTAAAATGTTGATAGCACCTAAAGTCCTGCTCTATTCAATCACTCCTTTATTCATTTTACATATCTAGGCTGAAATTTAACATGGTACAATACCAGAGAGCTCAGTGTAATTTTGTCCACATAATACTTTCTCTGAGAAAGATGGTGATGCTGTCCTTGCTAATTCTTGGAGTTGCTCATAGAAGAATCAGGCCAGTGAATCTCAGGACATTTTCTCTCCAGAGTCATCTCCTCACTCCCCTCTGGCAATGTGCTGTTGAGCCCTGAGAACAAATTGGCAGTAATCAGTGTGATTTGCTTTGATGCATTCCTGAGGCTGGAGGAATTGTTGAACCCTTGAATGACACATGCCTGGAGGTGAAGAGTAATATAAGTCACAAAGGAAAGAAGGAGACCAGTTAGGGTTGATTAGAAACAGAACACTCTGTGGGAAATATTTGAAGCCCAAAATCATTCAGGAAGATCCAGGCTTGCCAAAAAGCAAGGATGGACATTGTGTCCTACTGTTTACAAGTGCCCAGGAGACCACAGGATGAGGTGAAATAGGAGAACTTTATAAACACTTTGGTCCTCCATGATTTCTCTCCTGTTCTTATGTCTTCTGCAGCATGATGAAAGACTGTAGAGCTTAATTTTTTTTTAAGATTTTATTTATTTATTTGACACAGAGAGACAGCATCAGAGAGGGAACACAAGCAGGGGGAGTGGGAGAGGGAGAAGCAGGCTTCCTGCTGAGCAGGGAGCTCGATGCGGGGCTCGATCCCAGGACCCTTGGGATCATGACCTGAGCCGAAAGCAGACGCTTAACGACTGAGCCACCCAGGTGCCTCTGTAGAGCTTAATTTTGATCTATAGTGACCAGACAGTGGAATTAGCTTCAGAAAGAGCTGAATTTCAATCTTAGTTCTATACATACAAACTATGGGCTCTTAGGCAAGTGAGCTAACTTCTTCAAATCTTGGTTTCCTCTCCTACCAGATGGGGAACATGATACCTACCTGTTGTGAAGAAGAAAGGAGAGTGTTTGGGAACGTGCTGGTGCAGTCTGGGCACGCACAAGATGCTTGTTGAATATTCACCTGCTTCTTTCTCCCCTGCAGCGGGAGCTGTGCCAACTCTTGCCATCCACCAAAATGCTGAGCTTCCCAGAAGCGCTTTCTTAGAATCCTTTTGGATGTGCATCAGAGTGCAAGCCATGCTCTAGAATTCTCAGTTGGGACAGGACGATGGCTTACCACCCTTGCTTAACTACTCACCTTTAACCAGCATTTTCTCCTCCATCATTAGTAGCGGGGCAAGGAGGGGAGAGATGGAAGGCAGGAGGATGGCCAACACTTGCTTCCAGTCTTTTCCCTGGTCTAGAAAACAGGAATCTCTAAAACAGGCTAGTGGCTGTTTTGTCCTCTCAAGCATTTCTCAGACCTTTGGGCATCCATAGGGGTTCCAATTCCAGTAGCTTATATAGTAACACCCTACTTTTTGTAACTCAGTTCTCTGGGAAGATCAATTCTTTTGAAACATAACTGAGAACCAAGACAATAACCAATTAAAGCATGGGAAGGGCCCAAACTGGTATCATGCCGTAAAACTCAGACACAGTGTTAGGAGAGCTCCATGCTACCGTAATCAGAGCTGCCTTACTCTTTTTTTAAAAGATTTATCTATTTATTTGAGAGAGAGAGCATGAGTGGGGTGAAGGGCCGAGGGAGAAGCAGACTTCCTGCTGAGCAGGGAGCCCAACACGGGGCTCCATCCCAGGACCCTGGGATCATGACCTGAGCCGAAGGCAGAAGCTTAACTGACTGGGCCACCCAGGCACCCCAGAGCTGCCTTTCTCTTATATTACATGCAATTAAACAGCCTTTTGATCTAATTTTCAAGCCAATTATGTCACTGGGACCAATGGATTAAAGGTTAAAAGGGAAGAACACTAAAAGTAACTCTTTTAACAAAAGCAAAAAATGGCAAATCTATGTCCCAGCAGATACTTAACTTCACACATTGATGATAGCAATAATTAATTTTCATTATGATAAGCATGCATCCTCATCAAGAAAGCTGAAATGATTTTGAGTGCCTCCTGCTTAAAAGAGAATGAGACATTTCAAAATGTTTTTCATATAAATCTATGTATCAATATAGCTACATATATTTCTCTCTATATGTATCTAATATGTATGATAAAATAAAATAAAATAAAATGGGGATGAAATAAAGTGAAAAGGGATTATATATCCACTATAGCTCCTTGCTGTACTTAGTAGGTACTTGTTAAATATTGCTATTATTATAAAATATTGTAACACAATAATAAGGGGCAGATCCAGGCTTTGTAGGGCCTGAAGCTTATACATCTTTTGGATCCCTCTTTAAGAAAAAGGATACAAAATTACAAATACAAAATTAAATATTAATGGGAATACTTATTTAGAATAATAAACCTTTACAAAGTAATGATTTTTAAGAAGCTGACAAATACCACAAACATCACAAAATCCAGAAAAATAACATATTTTTAAAATTGACTTCCTGGCATTTATTTATAATTCTTTTTTTCAAAAGTTTTTGGCTGAATATTCTTTGATTGCCTTGAATATTCTTTGATTCATGGCTTTTTATAATTCTGTTTTCTAAAGAGAATAAGGATAATTTAACCCATTCTCTAGCATGGTTGATCAAAATTTATTTTTTACCACTGATAGTTAAAGAAAATTTTCCTTCGGCTTCCCAACTTGGTTTTGGGTCATGTCAGGTAAACTTTTAGGATTATTGTCAAATTTGAGAAAACCTCTGTCAAGTTTCTTTTAAAAGAGCTATAAGGGGACGCTTGGGTGGCTCAGTGGGTTAAGTGTCTGCCTTCGGGTGTTGGAATCGAGTCCCGCATCAGGCTCCTTGTTCAGCAGGGAGTCTGCTTCTCCCTCTGCTGTGCTCTCTCTCTCTCTCAAAAAAAAAAAAAAAAAATCAAAAAAAAAAAAAAAAAAAGACAAAAAAAAAAAAAAAGCGGTAAGTTTTTTTTTAAGACTTATTTATTTATTTTAGAGAGAGAAAGAGAGAGAGAGCATGAGAGGGAGGGCAGAGGAAGAGAGAATCCCAGACTGATGCAGGGCTCGACCTCACCACCCTGAGATCAGGGCCTGACCGGAAACCAAGAGTCAGACGCTTAACCAACTGCACCACCCAGGCGCCCCTCCGAGCTGTAAGTTTTGAAAGAATATTCTGTAGACCATATTCTGGCTCTGTACAATCACCTGCCTTGTTTCACCTGCATTCCCCACATCTGGGGCTGGATGCTGTAGGCAATGTTCTCATCATGATGGGACCTTCACGTCATGATGCTGGTTGGTAAGTCTGCATAGGTAAGAACGCTCCCAGAAGCCATTGCTGCTCCAGGATGGCCAACAGTGACTTAACTAGACACAAAGGTTGCTACTGTAAATCATAGAAATAAATCTGGCTGAACCTGGCTAACTGGGTCCTTAACTCCTAGGTCACTCAATATGTGGACAAAGTGCTTGTAGCAAGTCAAGGAGGAAAGAAACAGGGGTCTTAATGGTGGTTAAAATATCTTCCTTATGCAAATTATATGAAAACAGATGACCATGTATACATGTAGCCAGGACCTCAGGTCTCAGAAGGGTCCCATGCACGCGGGGGCTCTGGAGCTCAAGCTCCATACGATTCATGGTCCATCTACTCTGATAATAGTAAATAGCACTGAGAAGAGAAGAGAATTGGTGGACGTGGGCCACCAGTTTGTTAGGGAACTAGCTGTGTGACCTTGGGTAAATCATTTCACTTTTTATGAACCTTGCTTTCCCGTTTCCAAAGTGACAAGTGTGAACGCCGTGATGTGCAAGGTTCCTGATACCCACAGCAGTGAGCGACCCTGAGAACACTTTCCGAGCAAGCCAGGCAGGGTCAGAGAGGAGGGGGCTGAGCAAGAAGAAACAGTTACTGCCTTAAGGACCATCCGTCCTTCCCTCTCTCCCCCAGCAGAAGTTCGCAGAGCAAATGAGCACCATGTTTTCCCAGCACAGCAGAGCTATGAAAATTCTGCCCCACCGAGTATTGCTACAATTACGGGCTGTGACAGGCCTATCTTTTATTTTCCCAGGAGCGAGAGGGAAGGAGAGCTGTCTGAGTGCCTGACCCAGTCATTTCTCTCTGAAAACCATCAGGGCTGGAGAATTGTCTTGGAGGCTGAAGGGCTCAGGCCAATTTCCCCGGGGTTGGTCCCAGCTGTGCGTGTTTCTGATGGTACCTAGAAGACAGGTCAGACTAATTCTGGGGAGGGTTCCAGTGCTTTCTCTCTTCACCTCTTGGCTTTTAATTCCTCTCCTTTGATGGATGGACTGGGAGTGGGAGATAGGTTAGTGACTAGTCTTGCCTGGGCATTAATTTCTTTGCAACTTTTGATATGAGAGCTCATTTTTTAAAAACTGAAATTCATTCCAATCTTAGCCAGCCTGACCATATACAGAATTCCTTTTCTGAGATTCCTTTTCAACAAACCTTCTACAAATGTTTTTATATCCATTCAATTTTTGTCCTTTTTCTTTTTCTTTTTTTCTTTTCTCATTCTGGAACAACTACACATTTTAATCTCCTAACCTACTTTGCTTACATAGCGGTTTCCTTTCACCCTTATGATTTCTAAGGAGTTTTAATTACATATATTGATTAGAATTCTTAATCCTTAAACCCCTTTATTCCTAGTGAAAACTAAGAAGTTAGCGATTGTGGACTGTTACATTAGCATCCTGTGGATTGGCAAAGATGTAACTATGTTTCATAATTTCTAGAAGTATATTCTTCCTCATAGTAAATTTTTCAATAGGGCACAAAACATGTTTACTGATAGACCTCAATATGTGTAATTCCTCTGTAAAAGGAAACCCACAGTGGACAATTCTGTGTTAAGTAATTAATGCTTCAGTATTTTATCCTATTTGGAAATGATCTAGATATTCAACGACTATCCATTATTTAACTCATCTCACCAAAACTTGAAGGTTTCAAGTGACCAGAAAGATCTTGGAAACTATTTTTTAAGTAGATATGCCATAAAGCATAATTATTGTTGAAAAGCTCATTTATAAACTTTTTATCTTACTTGATTTACTCATTCTTAACAGTTTTGTTTAGATTCTTCATAAAATTTCCATGAGATATTGAACAGCAGACCATCGTTTTCTTACCTTTTTTTTAAAGTTTATTTATTTTTTTAGTAATCTCTACACACAATATAGGGCTCAAACTCACAAGCCCTGAGATCAAGAGTCGCATGTTCCTTTGACTGAGCCAGCCAGGCATGCCTTAAGTTATGTCTTGCTGAAACATTCTGTAACAGAGACATCTTTTTTGGCTTTTAATCAACCTAGGTAGAATAAAAGTATTATGTTTCATGGCTGATAACCCTAAAGACATGCCTGTTTTAACTGAGCCAACAAACTTAAGCGAGCTTTTATTTACCAAAGATTATCCTAGATCACATGAATTTATAAAACATTAGGGCTCATTTCTATATTTCTGAGAGTATACTTGATTTATATAATGCTTGTTTGTCTTTAAGCCAATTAAATTGAGCTCTTCACAAATTAATTTTGGCAATATCATCCAGAGGTGGAAAAAGAATCACGTATCTATAACATACATACAAAGACACAGAGAATGGGGCGCCTGGGT